ACAGGTAGTCCTCAACTTACAACAGTTCATTTAGTGACCATTCAAAGTTACAAGAGCACTGAAAAATGTGACATCGTTTTTCAAAGTTCCGACCTTTGCAGCACCCCATGACCATGTGATCAAAATTAAGATGCTTGGCAATTGGTTCATATTTATGACTGTCACTGTGTCCAAAGATCATGTGCTCCCCTTTTGCGACCTTCTGACAAGCACAGTCAATGGGGAAGCAAGATTCATTTAACAATTGTGTTACTAACTTATCAGCTGCAGTCTTTCACTTGACAACTGTGGAAAGAAAGGTCGTAAGATGGAGCAAAATTGACTTAACAAATGTCTCACTTAACCTCATATTTTTCGACTCAGCTGTGGTCATAAGTTGAAGACTACCCGTAAAACTATTTCACTATAAATATTGGAACAAAAAGAATATCATTAAAGCAATTTTTTCAACCTTGGTAAATATATGGAATTCAACTCTGAGAACTCCTCAGCCAGTGATGTTGGCTGGAGAATTCTGGAAGTTAAAGTTCATGTGTCTTAAAATTGCCAAGGTTGAGAAATACTGCTTTAGACACTAATTTCAAACGCAATCCAAATATTTACATAAAAATTATAATGAAAAAGCCTTGACTTTGATCAGCATCTGCAAGAACATACATAATTATTCCTTATTTTTCTGACTCCATAAACATCTTTATACTAATCTCTGAACCTTGGTCTTAATCTTACTCAACAATCACCTCTCCCCATGAACTTTCTCTTTTCCGTTGGAAACAAATCCCAAAGGAAGACATTCAAACTAAACTGTTTTTTCTCTGTGTCATATAATATATATGGATACATAATTCTATTTGTTTATTTATTTAAATTTATATAGTGTATATTAGAGGTGGAGATTCTTTGAGAGCTGTATGCAACATTTCATTTTAATGTTTGCCGATTAATGTACATTCAAAGTGACAATTAAAGTTAATCTAAGTGGAATACCTATCTTCCAAAGACCAGCATGCATGACAAAAAGCCGAGCAATTGTAACGCTACCTATAAATGCCAAACTGTCTAGATAGGACCTACACCTGGCAATTTATGGCTTATACTAGCTAGAACGACTGGCTTCCATCGATCACCAAGGCGATGCCGCAAAGGCTTTCTGGGAGATGTAGTCCGCTCGTACTTCCTCTTTTCAAATCGTTCTCCCCTCGGCGCGGTTCTCAAGCGGCTAGTTCCCGCGGATTGGCCAACCGCTGACCAATCAGGGCGCAAGCAAAGGGCTTTGGGCCTATTATGATTGCCTGGCTTTTCAATTCTATCCTTATTTGCCGCCTGCTTGGTCCGGGAGGGAGCTGCTGCTGCGGCTGCCAGCGCTGCTGCGCAGGTGTGTCCCTCTCCAGCTTACCTTCCTTCCGGATTCACCTGTCTGCTTGCCTACCCGCGCTGGAGTTGAAGGATGCGGCTGCGCTCCGGGGTCTTTGCTTCTTTCTGCCTGTTGGTGCAGGCCCTGGGCGTGGGGCTTTTCATTAGAGGCTTCTTCCCGGCGCCGGTCAGATCGCTGCTTCCGAGCGGGACCTTCGGCCAGGTCCCTGCAGAGCCTCCTCAGACAGGTACAGCGTCTTTCCCTGGCTCGTGTTTTCCTGGGATCTCGCCAGGAAAGGCGAGGTGTGCCGAGAGGAGATAGGCAGGCCTCTTTCAAAGTGGGGTGGGGAAAAACATTACTTGTTTCTCTCCATGGCATATCCCTCCTCCAGCCTGCCAAGCAAGGCTCAGAGGGGCGAGTAAGATGCTCCAAGAAGCTTGAACTTCTCTTTGTGGATATTTAGCGGAGTGACTCCTGTGAGTCCCTTGGACTGCAAGGCGACCAAACCAGTCAGTGCTAGATCATCAACCCTGGCTGCACTTTAGAAGGCCAAATCTTGAAGATGAAACTCAAATACTTTGGCCACCTAATGGGAAAGAAAGACTCATTGGAGAAGAGCCTCATAGTGGGAAAGGTTGAGGGCAAAAGAAGAATGAGACGACAGAGAATGAGGTGGCTGGATGGAGTCACTGAAGCAGTAGGCGTGAGCTTAAATGGACTCCAGAGGATGATAGAGGACAGGAAGGCCTGGAGAAACATTGTCCATGGAGTCGCGATGGGTTGGACAGGACTTCGCAACTAACAACAAAAGCAGAGTGGCAGTGGTCTAATTCGGGACAGCTCCCAAGATTCAGAAAGGAGGTGCCCAGCTTTTGGCAAGGAGTTTTGAGGCATTTGCATTTGCAGGGAGCAACCTCTGCCTCCTCTCCAACTCCTCTTGCAGGTTGTTTGGGCTTTGTAGCAGTGTTTGTTGGGCCACAAGCAGCCCAGCCTTGGTTGCCATGCTGCTCAGAGAGGAAGAGGCATCAGTAAACCTACCTGCCCTGCAAGTGAAATGAACAGTTGGACAAAGGGTGGCTTTTGCCAGAACAAAAGGTTGGGTGGCTTTTTTGCCCTTTTGCCCGGCAGAATGTCTTCCTTCTTTTCTTGGGCGAGGGCCAAAATGAGGAAGAAAAAACAGTAGACTTTATAACCCAAAGTAGGAAGTGAGTTATGTGCCATGCCAATGAATAACCCCACAGGTTATCCAGGCTAGGGAGACAGGAGGTAAGGGAGCAGCTGCCTATTTGGTTAGTTTAGTGTACTGCCAACTATCCAGATTGTGGTACATTTTAAAGTAAAGACAATAAAATTGAAATGAAGCAATTTCAATTTAGCACCTGTGATGCTAAAAATCAACAACGAAACTCTTGCTTGAAGGGGCATTAGAAGGGCCATTTTAAAATGGTTGGTGCACTCCTCATCCCAATGGCTTGAACCTGGATCACCACACGATGAGCCTGTAACAAATGTAAATGAACCTCACAAAGGTTCTCACAAGTCACCTCAACCAAATCCATAGAGGCCTTGAATATTAATAACTAGCATTTTGATTTCCGTTAGAAACTATCCGGCAGTCAAAATGATGTTTTTTATGTGTATAATGTGCTCTCTTTGAATTCTAAGATTAGCTGAGCTGTTGAGTTCTGTACCAATGGAAACTTCTGATCTAGATTCCAAAAGAAGTTTTGTGGAACATATTACAATACTGTACTCAAATGTTGATATCACTATATATGGTTACTTTCCTTGCAGAAAGAAAAATGGTCTTTCTCTCTCCAAAGTGATGATGAACAGGACCGAGGGCCATTTCCTCTGGAGAATTTGGTCCACGTGTAGTAACAGGTCAACTACATACTTTGTCTTTTTGAGAAAGTATGATCTAGTTTAAAATGGTATCTATTACCTCTCTGGAAATGTATAGTTGGTCCCATTTTATCACTTTTCTTGCCACAGTTGCTCAGTGAACGTCTGCAGTTAAGTTAGTAGCATGGTTGTTAAGTGAATCTGGCTTTCCCATTGACTTTGCTTGTTGCGAAAGGTGATCACATGACCCCGAGATCCTGAAGCAGTCATAAATTTGAGTCAGTTGCCAACGTGACCATGGGGATGCTGCAATGGTCATAAGTGTGAAAAATAGTCATGTCCCTTTTTCCAGTGCAGTTGTAACTTTAAATGATTACTAAATGAACTGTTGTAAGCCGAGGACTACCTGTATAGTTATTGAAAAACAATCTGCAAAGAGATAAAGTATTGCTAATTCAAACTTTCTCTCTTGATTTTGAGCAAAAGTTATCCATTAGGACGGTGAATGTGATTGCAAGCCATGTAAGCCTCTCGAAAGCCAGGCTAAAACTAGCTAGTGTTATCTGCTGCAGGATGTATTTAATTTAAGTGGCTAGTCAGAAAAGCTTAATATAAAGATTTTGATTATAATTTATTCATTAGCCTAGAAGTTTCTATAATGATCATTTCTAATAAAAGTGCAGTCTTGTTTGGAATAGTCTGAATATCTGCTCTTCAATACCTGTACTAAGACTTTGTTTTAGAAGCATATTTATTCAAAGTGCTTTTATGCAACACCAATCAGTTCAATCTTAAGTGATTTAGAAAGCAAAAAATACAGCAGCAGCATCCAGGTACACTAAGTGACACATATATATGATTATTAATAACAGAAAGCAATTTATCAACTTTAATTCAGATTAATTTTCATCAAAAATAAATGACAAACACCTATATGGAAATCATTAGGAATTCATTAGGAATTCCATTAATTGTTGTGGATGTTTGAAATATTTTGTCCTGATATATGCAAGGAAAATAGCCATGCCACTTTTAAAATTATACTGGATCACCTCAAATTCTTTATTCATTGATTCATTTTTTATCTTTACATTTTAGGGGAAAACAATTGGTTGCTGGGTTTGTTAATTTGTTGCTCACTCCTATATTACCAAGTGGCATGTTTTTATATATACCATTATGCTCAATTACTGTATATTTGCTTTTTAAATGAAATCTTTTAAAGAAAAGTTTTAGAATGAAAACTTAGTGTGGTGTAGTGGTAAAGATGTTGGGTGAGGAATAGGGATATTCAGGTACTATGCGTTTTTACCTATTGCTGTGGCCTAAGTAATTTTCCACCTTGCCCCAAGTATTAGCCATCCTTCTTAGGTGTTCTAATTGTAAATTGCAATCCACTTAATAAAGAAATTGTAAGTAAGACCAGGTTTTGGGGGAGAGTTAGAACTGTTCCTCAAAATTTGGCCTCTTCTGGAGGAAATAATAGCTCTTAACTTTCCTGTGTAATGGACTATTGTCTCGCTAATGCCAGTTTTTCTATTACCTATCTCTTCCATTGTATTCTCTCTGGAAATCTGGATCACTGTGTTACCCAGAATGCAGCGTTTACAAGGAAACAGCTATCTCTTACTTGTATGTTTTCCCTGGCCTTGCATGCCTCTCAGATTAAATGGGCAAAGGCAAGAATAAAAGTCAGGTGGTAGCATTTACTCACTCACCTGTCACCTTTTAGATAGAGGGAACTGCTCCTTATTACTATATCTTACAAGAGGCAAAGGAGATAAGCAGTTGGAAGCAATTGGAAGCATTGGCTGTTTCCGACAATCACATCTTGCTTGCTTTTAAGCTGAGTAAAAGGCAGTGCTCTCCTATGCTGTGTGTCCTCAGGGGTTGGGCCAGGTGGGAGCTCACACTTTTCAAAGGGCTACTGCATATCAACAACAATTTCATGAAGATGATGGAGCTTTAGCAGCTATCGAAGAATGCAAATGTTCGAAATACCTCTGGGAATAAACCACTAATAATACTGTTTAGCATATTCCCAGTGCTACAGTCAAAGGTATACTAGTTCTGCCTCAAGAGGCTTTGAAATTCAGAGTAAAATAAGTAAGAAAACAATTATTCAAAGTGTTTAGCCTTCACTGAAATAATTAGTGAATTTGTTACATTTTAATGTCTCACATCATTAAATAACAGCAGAGTCTTGGGCAGATAATTTAATTCTGGCCTTTGTTTCTATTCACTCAAAAACTGCATAGTAACCATGTAGGGGGGGATTGTTCTGAATATTGTTTTTCTTGCTTAGGTAAATCTTAGTAAGCCTTACTGCTCAGTGACAAAGTTCACATATGGCGGTGCTTAAAAGTTTTGAATTTTCAATATTTCTGCATATTTAGTGTATGACCTAAAACATCATTTATTCAAGTCCTAAAACTTGATATTCAACTGAGGGATAATTGGTGAGCTTCCTCGCATAAACTGCTCAATTTAGGTCCTTTCACAAAAGTCTTATAGGATTCAGGTCAGGACTTTGCCAATCCAAAATGTTAACTTTCTTCTATTTTAATCAAGTGGTTATGCAATTTTGGCTTACTATCTTGCTGCATGACTCATTTTCTCTTGAGCTTCAGTTCAGGGATAAATACCCTGACATTTTCTTTTGGAATTTAGTGGTACAATTCATATTTTACATCAAAGATGATATGCTATCTTTGTCCAGAAAGACAGAGCAAGCCCAAATCATGGTATTGCTGTTGTCACTTTTTGCTGAGAGAATAAAGTTCTTATGCTGGAATGCAGTGTTTTGTCTTTTGTGAAGTGGAACACTTTTCATTTAAGCTGAAAAATTCTATAATCTCATCCATCTACAGAACATCCTTCCAATAAAACTCTGAATTTCATAAATGATAGATGTCTTTCTCCTTGCAACTTCGCCGTGCACCCTATCTATATTCTTCAATGTTTTTGATGGTGGGGTCATGAACACTGGCATTCATCAATGCAAGAGAGGTGTTTAGCCTTAAACAATATCCTGGAATTCTTTAAGAGTATTACACCCCTTGATTTTGGTGTGATCTTGGTTGTTCAACCACTCCAGGATAGAGTAACAATAGTGTTGAATTGCTTCCTTTTGTATACAATCAACCCAATAGCAGAGTTTGGTAAAGTCTAACTTCTTTGGAAATAGTTTTGTAGCCTTTTCCAAAACATTAGCACCAGGGTGGATTTGATTTAAATCAAGTCGATTTAAATCACAATTTAAATTGTGATTTAAATCACTAATTAAAAGGCTTGATTTAAATCATAATTTTTAAAGAGCAACTGTCATCTCTGTCCCGCAGCAGTTCTTCCTCTGATCCGCAGTTGACTCACCAACAGTCCTAATATTGCAGAAAATACAGCCTCATGCTAAATAATTAAGCTCCATTTCATGCTGAATAAATTAAATTATTGTTTCTTAAATTGAAAACTATCCTTAGATTACTCCAAAAGCATTTTATTAAAATAAATTTGATAAAAATAAAAAGTCTGATTTAAATAAAAAACATCCAGTTTAATTTTTAAAACATCCATTAAAAAAAAAAACATCAATTTTTATCCACTCTGATTTTTTGGAGGTTCTCAGAAATCTCCTTGTTTGAGCCATAACACGTTTCCACATACCTGGGTTGTAAAGATCAGACTTTGATAGTAAATAACCAAAATTATGTTCTGTAAATAATTCAGGTTCTCCCACACTAAATCTAAAAAAGATGATTCTGATTTCTCCTTCAAATAAACTGATAATCCTAGAGAATCACATACTTTTGTCATACACAAATATGTAACACTGGATTATTTTCCTCAAATAAATGAGCAAGTATAATGCTTTTTTTGTCATTTGTTTAATCAAGTACTTTTAATCTAGTTTTAGGACTTGTTCAGAGAATAGATCATGCTTTACTGTTTTATTTATGCAGAAATATTGAAAATTCAAAAAAGTTCCCAAAATTTTAAGCAACACTATGGATATTTTCCTTACTATACAGTTCTAGGTTTGTATACTTTTCCCCCAGGCATTGAGGCTTCCTGCAGGTTGACAGCACCCATTTATGCTTTTCTGGGATGGTAACAATTCTCCAGAACAATGCTTGTCACTTTTGCTGAAATGTATTTGTTTACAATCATGTCTACTGGCAGTGCAGGTAGAAAGCAAAGTTGGCAAGAGATTGTTGCAAATCAACAAAATGTTCCAAATAAATTTAAATGTTGAAAACAATAATTTGGAAAATTATTGGTTCAGCAACAATAAATGGTAAAATTTCTGCGATTTATTGTGGGCAATTATTTTAGTTAGTTGGGACATTTGCCAGGTGTGTTTAGATTAATTTGTCATTTTTGATTCTTCCCTTTCCATCACCTTTGTTACCCAAATACCATAAATAAATTAAAAAAAAAAACAGTGGTGCTGTTTCACTAGCTGGAATGTACTTGTAGAAATTCTGCAACCAACGGGCATTTACTTACAGACAGCCATGGGTAGTGTTCATAGGCCTGTTGTACTACAATGATTTGGCTCATTTGGCTCTTATTGGCTCTTATAATTCATGCTTTCCATGTGTCTCCTAATTCTGTGGGTTGTTTAAAAACATTTCATTCTTGCAACCTATACAACTCATTTTTCTTTTCGTGGGCTCTATAAATTGTTGTCAAATGTTAACTCCTAGTAGTCTCAGGAGGAAGATGCTAGATGTTCATCCGATCGTGTATCTAGTGCAGTGATGGCAAACCTATGACACATGTGTCATTGGTGATGTGACATTAGATTTTTGGTGACACGCCATGCCTCTGGACCCTCTGGAAGTTAGAAGAAAGTCTGGCTCTCGCGCAGCCTCGGAGAAAATCACATCAGCATTCTTGCACAATTTTCTGAGGCTCCAGAGGTCCCACGAGAGCAGATCCCTCTCATGCTAGATATTCTAAATATTCTAGAACAATATTTCTCAACCTTCCCAAAGCCGCTATCCTTTAATACAGTTCCTCATGTTGTGGTGATCCCCAACCATAAAATTTTTTTTCATTTTTTTTTTTTCATTTTATTGAAAATTTATATGCCGCCCTTTTCCCTGAGGGGACTCAGGGCGGCTTACAACAGTAATTGGTGGCTTGGTTCCTAAGACCATCGAAAATATGTGTTTTCCGATGGACTTTGGCGACCCCGGTGAAAGGGTCGTTTGACCCCCAAAGGAGTCCCGACCCACAGATTGAGAACCACTGTTCTAGAAGGTCCAGAGAGGCTGAAACACCAGCTTCCTGTCAACAAATAAAGAAGAAAACTACAGATGTTGTTTATAGATCACATACCGAGATATTTCTACAATATCTTGTTCACAGTTCGCTACCTTTCTTATATAGTTTCCCCACACTTGCCATATTCTCTATTGTTTTTCTTCATGTGATTTAAGGTGTTCAGAAACCAACACTGACATCAAAAACTATAATAAAAAAATTGTTGGAAACGGGACAAATTACAGCTTTCAGAATTAAAATTGTGACCATCAGTTATGGCTTGTTGATTCCTGCCTCTAAAGATATTTGTAGAAAATGTGGGACATTGAGGTCAGTATGTGTGAAGACCAAGCATTAGCTTGGATTAGTGTCTCATGTGGGTTTTTCATTTTCTTTTCTTTTTTTAGAATTGACATCAGACTGGACCGAGAAGATCCCACCTATTTTTAACAAAGTAGTTATAGTGTTGATTGATGCCTTGAGAGATGACTTTGTTTTTGGTTCAAAAGGTTTAAAATTTATGCCATATACAACAGAGCTGGTGGAAAAAGGAACAACACATGCTTTTATAGCAGAAGCCAAGGCACCTACTGTCACTATGCCTCGAATTAAAGTAAGTTTTGGTATCTTGGACATAAATATTTCTTGACAAGTGATAGTTGTCTTCTATTAAATCTATACTTTGTGCATTTCATAAAGCAGTATGCTTAATGCTTAGTGCAGAAATATGTTCTTTTTGACAACATGAGTTTTTTCTCAGAATGTGATGGTACATTCTGCTATGATGTTTGAGGCGAGTGAAACAGTGGGGAAAAAAATTCACCAGCTTCCTGGAGTACTCAAGTTACCCCTTACTAAGGGCATTACATTCAGTACCATAGTCCTGAATTCAGTACTGGTAGTCCTGCCACATTTAGAGGTAGTTACCAACAACCACCGTTGAGCCCAACATTTCTGTTGTTAGATGAGAAATTTGTTAAGCAAGTTTTGCCTGATTTTACAATCTTTCTTGTCACAGTTGTTAAGAAAATCACTGCAGTTAATAAGTTAGTAACCCGGTTGTAAAGTGAATCTGGTTTCCCCATTGACTTGTCAGAAAAGGTGATCACATGACCTTGGGACAGAGCAATGGTTATAGATATGAACCAATTGCTAAGCATCTGATTTTTGATCACATGATCATGGGGACGCTGCAAAGATCATAACTCTAACAAACAGTCATAAATCACTTTTTTCAGTGTTGCTGTAACTTTGAATGGCCATTAAATGAACTGTTGTAAGTCGAGAATTACCTGTATTGAATTATGTGTAACCATTCGCTTAAAGGAGTTGATTGTCTGCAATATATATGTATATGCATGCAGAAGTGAGTCCTTATCCAGAGTCAGATTTTAGTTCTACTGAAACTTCATCTAATGCTCGATCCATCTCTCCTTTTGCTGGATCCCTTTGCAGGCACTAATGACTGGTAGCATCCCAGGTTTCATTGATGTAATCACAAACCTTAACTCTCCAGCCTTGATGGAAGACAACTTAATTTGGCAGGCCAAACGTGCTGGGAAAAGAATAATTTTCTATGGGGATGATACCTGGATTAGGCTGTTTCCAAAGCATTTTGTGGAATATGATGGGACAACATCTTTTTTTGTATCAGACTACACTGAGGTAAGTCACCATCTGGGAGTGGCTGTAAGAATATATTTGTGTGCTTTTTGATGCAAACGTTTATTGCATATGTTATATGGTGGTCATAGGTATGTATTTTTTATAAAATGTCACACTTATTGATTATTTCTAGAACCATTACTTTTTCTTTATTTTACAAAATGTTCATCTCACCTAGTTACCTAAATTATACAGTTCACATAAAATATATGTCTTTTTAAAAATCCTTCTCATGTCTTAGGTTTTTTTAAATTGTCACAGTAATAAATCACTATTTCCCCACCATCATAAACTCTAAATTAGAGATTAGCAATAGGATACCAAACAGCATGGTTAATAGACTTAGAATGTTGGAGCCATGTATCTTACCAATTTTGAGAATTTAATACTTAACTACATAGAACAAATCAAAGAATGTATAGGATATTAGTGCAGATGGAAATAGGATATTCACTCCATGCTTTAAGGGAAGCTTACGAACCTGTTCTTTAGAGTTTAGAGTTTTAGAGTTTTATTTCATTTGTATGCCTCCCTTTTCCCTAAGGGGACTCAGGGCGGCTCACAACTCAAAAAGGGAAGGGGGGATACAAACAGTTTAACAAGAACACAAAACTATACATAGTTAAAAAACACAACAATCATACCATTCGAGATAGGGGCAGCGAATCTTTAGCCCCAGGCCTGTCGGAATAGCCAGGTTTTAAGGGCTATGCGGAAGGCCTGGAGGGTGGTGAGGGTACGAATCTCCACGGGGAGTTCGTTCCAGAGGGTCGGAGCAGCCACAGAGAAGGCTCTTCTCCGGGTAGTCGCCAGTTGACACTGGCCGGCGGATGGAATTTGGAGGAGGCCTAGTCTGTGGGATCTAATTGGTCTAGTGGAGGTAATTGGCAGTTCTTGGTATGTTCTTCCCTTATACAGGGGATACATTGGTAGAAATTGTTCAAACTGAATAGATTCACCTCAGCCTCAGTGTAAGTATCAAGGTTCTGACTAAAAAACCCAAGCAAATCAGGACTCCGAGGCTAGAGTCTTCCTCAAAGAACTTCTTTATTGGGTACATTTAAGTGTGCCGATATTATGTACCCAATAAAGAAGTTCTTTGAGGAATACTTTAGCCTCAGAGTCCTGATTTGCTTGGGTTTTTTAGTCAAAGCCTTGGCAGTAAGAACTGCAGAGGAAGATTATGTATCACTGGTCCTTGACTTCAGTTAGATTGGCACCAGGGATGGCATTCACTTAGTTTCCCTACCGGTTCACAAATGTGAGTGCATGTGCAAGTTTGGCCTTCCGCGCATACACTGTGGCTTGAAAATGTGCCTAAATGGGACGGTATAGACCAGGGGTGGGTGGGCAGGCCCACCCACGATTTCCACTACTGGTTCAGGCGAACTGGTCCGAGCCAGCTGAATCCCACCTCTGATTGACACATACAGTGTACCGTATTTTTCGGAGTATAAGACGCACCTTTTCCCCCTAAAAGAGAGTGAAAATTTGGGTGCGTCTTATACACTGAATGTAGCCTCACCCACCCACCCATCAGCCCCAACCCTTTGGCTTTTGCCTCCCAGCAATTTACCTCTTTGCAGCAAACAGGGGCTTGTGGAGGCTTCAATAGGCTATAGCAATCCCTGCAGCCTGAAACAGCTGATGATCAGGAGAAATTGAAAGTGAAACTTGCTGTTTGCTCAGGCAAATTGCTGGGAGGTAGAGGCAGATTTTTTGTGTGCTAATCAGGCTGTTTGCTGCAAGGAGGTAAGTCAACAACTATAAATGCCTGTTCAAATTATTAGACTTATTTTTTAAAAACTGTTTTATTATTCTAGACAACTTAACAAAATGAAAAAACTTTTTAAAATAAATGCTTGATCTGAAGAGGCCCAGTGCTATTGTTTAAAAAAGTGCTATTCTTTTAAATAGCAGAGAATAACTATACTTCCAGAAAGCACATCAATTTTAACAGCATCTGTAGTCGTATAGTCTGAAATATAACACTATAAACAATGTATATTGTCTATACTGTTTGCTGTTTGTTGCAAGGCGGCAAATTGCTGGGAGGCAGAGGCAGATATTTTTCCCTTGTTTTCCTTCCCAAAAGCTAGGTACATCTTATACTTCGGAGCGTATTATACTCCGAAAAATATGGTATATAAAAATTATTCTTCCAATTGTTAGAAGTGTAGAAAAAACAGTTATTTTTAAATTAGTGATGGTAATGTGATAAAGCTATTCACTTCGGATATAAAAATTTTAAGGAGATAAGTATCGCTGAACAAAGAATTGAATACGCCCAGGGTAAGGCTTACTCATTTACTTATTTATAGGACCAAACTTCAAGCTTAAAAAATAAACTTAATTTCTATCTAATTCTAGCAACTAAGATAATAATTGCCCAACATTGGAAAACTTTACATGAACTTAATAACGTAATTATGATGAGATTAAACAAGATACGTTCAATTGCAACATTAGAAAAAAAATTATAGAGTCAAAATAATGAAACATAGAGGCATCTATCTAAATTAGCATACAATACCATGAGGATTAACATCCTAAACTCACAGGTTGCAGATTGTGTTCTGATTTCGGAGAATTGGAACCTTTAAGAATGATAAGTGAAAGACAACATGTTGAATGGTTTGCAGTGTAGCATATCTAAGAAATATTCAGCCTCTATCAACTTCCTCAATGTTGTAGTAAGCTTTGAGCTAGATAGCAAATCATTACATTGTACACACTCCTTTCCATCAGAACGTTTATAATTAGAACTGTTAATTAATTCTGCATATCATATGAACAAAATAGGTGATGGCTTAATATATCTTTGATTTTCTTTCTCATTAAGGTTGACAACAATGTTACTAGACATTTGAATAATGTACTGAAAAGAGAAGATTGGGATATGCTCATTCTTCACTATTTAGGATTGGATCATATTGGTCATCTGAGTGGTCCAAATAGTCCTTTGATAGGACCAAAACTTTCTGAAATGGATAACATTATCTCGCAGATTCATAAGTCTTTGCTCTCTGAGGTAAGATGCTTACGTTTTGAAGATGCATTTGGTCATGAACACAGGAAGAAGATTTGAAATTTCCAACTTCAATGTACAGATGCATTTCATCTTACAGGCTGATCAAGTAAATGATCAATTGAGACCAAGTCTCATTGTGTTCATTGGGGCACATTTCCAGTTCTTAGTCTCAGGCAGTTGGAATTGTTGATCAAGTGAAATGCGTTGATATTGGTTTTTTTGAATACATTGGCCATAAGATGTGCAGGAGATGGAAACAATGTTGTATTTCAAGCTCCGAAATGTTCTGTTGGATCGTTGTGCGTTGGCTTTATTTCAGCAGAACAAAATTGGTAACGACTTGAATGTTTCATTTTTAACCTGGTAAAAAGTTGAAATGTAGGAAACTTTGGGGACTTAAGGCTCTTAGGTTTTTTATTGATATAATATTAATGCATGTAATGCAAGGAATCTACATATGCATATTTTTAAATACATATTTGCATGTAGGAACTTGATATATTTGCGATGCATTCTGCTTAACCAGCTTAAAGGTTGTGAAAGTACTAGCCAGGTGGGATCCCGTTTTTTATTTAAATAAATGATGCTGTGAGAAATCTTAATAATATATTCCTAACAAGGGTTGGTAGAGAGGTTGTTGTTATGGTATCTTTTATCAGTTTACTTGGGTGTGTGGCAATCATTCTTGAGAATCCTAATCTTTTTGGCTCAAATCTGCAAGGCGAGGGAACAGATTTGATAATGAAATGTTAAACTATTCCATTAAAACTTTGAAAATTTCTTCCAATTCAGGAACTGGAGAAAGGAACATTGCCCAATTTACTTGTTGTTTGTGGTGACCATGGCATGTCTGAAACAGGAAATCATGGCGGTTCCTCAGAAAGTGAAATTCGCACCCCTTTGCTTTTTGTCAGCTCTGCATTTCAAAGAACAGGTGGTAAGAACCGACTTTCTCTCTTAATAACATGATGAGTTGAATAAAAAAATGTCTGACTGCACCATTTCAGATTGTAAGGGTGGTAATGGTGGTTTACATGGTAGAATCTTCCATAACTCCATGAAAATCCATTTTCTCATTTGTTTGTTTTTTAAAAAAAACAACAACCCAATCCTAAATGTTGGAGAGACATTTATCACAAAGGTTTTGTTCCTTTTCTGTGGTGGTATTTTTTTAAAATTCAACTTCTATGTAGTCCCAAATATTCATAAATACTATGTTCCAGAAACAAGTTGTGTGGTGAAAATTTGGCCTGAGGTATTTTTATCTGGAGAACTTGTAAGTGTCTTAATGTATCTGCTAAATGGGATCTTAATAAATCCAGAAGCAATCAGTATATTAATATTTTAATTCAAAGTGGACCTGCCTGTTTTTATGGCTAAAGGCAGAAAGTGGTGTCAAAAGAATAGCACACCATTCAGTGACATTATTAAAGCTAAGTGAGTCAGTCTCAAAAGAATTGAAACCCAGAAATATATATTCAAATGTTTTAAAAGAAATAAACATCCTGGATACCTTCTAGGTTCCCAATAGCCTCCTGCTTATGTCATCAATTACTTAGAAACAGTAGTAACTTTTGAAATCTCTGTGAAGTAGCATAAAGGTGGCAAGGGAGAGTTTGAATTTCACAGTACTTGAGGTCCCTAGGGAGTGGGCGGCATTCAAATCTTATTAAAGTTGCAAAGTTGCAAAGTTACTTGCTGAATCTTTCCGGGGGGGGGGGGAACAATGAGGAGAAACACCTATTACTTTGGATCCAGTAGAGACGGGAGAAAAATGCTTATGGAACGAGCTTTCTTCTGGTCAAGAAATTATATTTTGGGGAATGAGGAATAGATAAGCTTTAATCAATATTTTCTTCCTCTCTTTAGGTCCCCGAAAATATCAAGAACTTATTCAACAGACTGATCTGGCTGTTACCTTAGCATTAGGACTTGGCTTGCCAATTTCAAGAAACAGTGTTGGGAATCTTCTGTCCCCTGTGATAGAATGGAAGACACCTCGAGAACAGCTACGGCTGTTGCATTTGAATGGTTTCCAACTCAGTAACCTTCTTAAAGAGAATGTTCCTACTTATGAGAAAGGCAAGTAAGTTCAAAATATTCTGGTAATTAGGATGTTTTTTATTTTCTCTCATGAACTATCATATATTACGGTATGAAGAAAGGAAGTAACATTCTGAAAATTAACAAACAGCTTGCTATAAGTGAATGAAGGGAAAGGAAAAGTAAGAATTGGTTTTATAGCTAATTAGAAGTTGATGTTAAATATAAATGAAAACTAAGTCATTCTTCTAGGATAAGGCAGCACAGTGAAGATATGTCTAATATCGGTAATGTAAATCTGGAGGCATAACACTATTTCCACATTTATCATAATTTAAAAAAAACTGAAATTCAGCTTGGAGGTAAAAACCTCCTGTCAACATTAGTCATAAATAGAGTGGGCATGTAGTTAATGTGTCTTCCTTATGAAGAGTGACTTTGTTTTCAAGTTACGTGAGGCTGTCATGTTTAGTTGCAAAAGTGTGAATGCACCCAGTATGACTCAGGTTTACAATATGGCATCCCTAAGCAGTAGCCAGAAAATTGTAGTAAAAATTAACAAAAAGAAAAAAAGGAATAAAAACAAAAAAAAATGTAAAATTATTCTTTATAGTGAGTAGTTATCCTCTTAACCAGCGGCCCCAACCTTTCCATGGAGAACAGTTTTTCTGTGGACTGGAGGGGCCAGTTTCGCATGTTTCCCGCATCCTGTGGATGGAGCTTTGCTTGTTTGCTTGACCCGTTTTTTGGCACGCTGTGGCCTGGTGCTGGTCCACAGATTGGGGATTGGGGACCCCCGCTATCTTCTTTACTCCTTTGGAATCCTCAAATCTCAGAATCATCAATTCAGTCCTTTCTGTCAACAAAAAGTCCACAGGTGGCACGCACAGCCATTTCTGAGGTCATGCGAGGCATTGCCCTGTCAACTCCAGTGTGCATGTGTGAACTGGCCAGCTGATTTTCGGCCTTGATGATCAGCCATTTTTCGCTCTCTAGGGGATTCCCTGAAGCTTCCGGAGGCCAAAAAGCTGCCCAACGCGCAAATGGGAAGTTTGGTAATGGACTTCCGGTTTGCGTGTTGGGCTGTTTTTCGCCCTCTGGAGGCTTCAGGAAAGTGGAGGGCAAAAAATGGCCCAATGCGCCTCCCGGAAGTCCGAAGACTTCAGTGAGGCCTGTGCAGGTATGTGTGTGTGTGCATGCATGCGCGGGGTGGGGCATTACATTATGGGTGTGGGCACACATGGGCACACCCCCCCGCTTTTGGAATGCCTCAACAAAAAGGTTAGCCATCACTGCAATAAGCTTTCAATCTTTCAGAAAGATATTTTGTCAGTTTTCGTTTCTCTGAGCAAGCTGCAGGTTCAGTTAATTTTATAATCCAATCTTTCCCTTATTGTATTTCATTGATTTTCCAACTTTTTGAATACAGTGCTCTTGCCATAGTTATATATAAATGTCAGTTTCCTATTTTTTCTAATTCCTTATCAATGTCCCAATAGGAATAATTCTGGTTCTATTGTAATGTTGAGCTGCGGTATATTTTTTATCACTGTATGGATTTGCACCCAACATTGTTTTGCCTTTTTTAGCATTACCTTTGTCATACAAAATTATGCAATGAAGTTAGTTCCCATTTAATGTCGAACAGTTATTCAATAACTGTTCATCGTTCAGCAGTGTTGAACCAGGGGATTTATGATGCCATAAGCCATCTTGTCCTTGCGATCACATAATTATGTTCAGGTGCCTGTTTATGCCTCACAGTTATGACATTGCAATGTCTCATAATTACAGTATGCAATTGCTTTTTGCAACCTTCAATGCTGGCTTTCGACAAACTAAGCCAGTGAGCTAGCCAGCAGAAGATTGCAAATGGTGATTACATGATAATGGGACACTGTGAACATGCAGGATTCACCTAAAAAAGGCAACTGGGTTAGTTGAAACTACCATTGTAACGGGAACACATTGCTTAGTGATGGAGTACCCAGTCCCAGTTACCATTGGTAAGTAAAGACTACCTGGAAAGTTAGCTAACCCTGAATAAGTATTTGGGGCCGTGGTTGATCTAGTCCACTGTTGTTCATTCTACAAGCCATAAATTGAGGGGAAAAAGCTGGTTAAACATTACGGGGAGAGCTTTAGTTTAAATTCTGTATTAAAATATAATGTTCTATCTACATTTTCATCTCTTATTATTAGATCCTGGATTTGAAATGTTTGTAAAGGCAGAAAAAGCCCATGGGAATTGGATTCAATACTATTTGGACGGCAGTAATACACAAGTTGTCACGAATTTGAGCAAAAAAATTATAAAACAATATTTGGAAGCTCTCAAGATCCTGAGCTTTTCTTTAAGCAAGCAAGTGGCCCAGTATGACATGTATTCAATGATAATAGGAACAATGATTATTGTGGAGGTATGGCCTTTTTTATTTACATACTTACTACTTACTTAATATCCACCCAACTCCTGGTGTTTCTTGAATGGCTTCCATCTCCAAAAATAGGAAACAGTAAAATGAAAGGAAAAAAAGGAAGTATGTTTGGAATAAAGAACCAGTGTCTCAAAAGAAAACTGACATGATTGCCAAAATTATCATAGTTCCAGGCCTGAAAGCAGAGCTAGTTTTTCAGAGATTTGCAGAAGAGCTGAAGGATGAGAATTGTATGGATCTCTGGTGAAGATAACTAAGCCTTACTTTGATAAAATAGCGCATTCGACCTGTTACTTAATTATTACTTAACTTAATTTGCACAATTTCATAGTGTTTATGCTTGGTTTATGCTCTGAGCCAAACTTAACTTGACACAAGGCTATCTAATTAGATTTAGGGTGGGATATTTTATCCAGATTCCTAACAGTTGTTGTAGATACCTTTTTTGTCTGTGAACTTGGCAGAGAACCATTGTGTGATGTAAGTTACTCTATGCAACAAAAAGGCTGAATAAAAATTATCGGATGGTCTTGTGATTGTTACTTTTACAGTAACTGGTCTCATCTCTCCTTTTTCTTCTTCTTCTTCATTTTTCCCCTTTTTTCTGACCTGATTCATATTTATGACGGTTGTGATGACCTGGTGTCATGTAATCCCCCTTTGCGACCTTCTGACAAGCAAAGTCAATGGGGAAGCCCAATTCTCCTAACCATGTTACTAATTTAACAAGTGCAGTGATTCACTTAGCAACTGTGGCCGTTGTCCAGAGGTCGTAAAATGGGGCAAAATTCTCTTAATGACTGTCTCGCTTAGCAACAGAAATCTTGGGCTGAATTGGGGTCATTAATAGAGGACTCCCTGTATTTGCTCATAGAAAGATATGTAAAAAGCTTAACATTGTTACATGTTAACAGGGTAACATGTTAATGGGTCTGCTTGATTTTTTGATGGTTAGGGAAATGACTGAGTCAGGCTGCACCCTACCTGTCAGATGAGATAGTGTAATCTCTGCCTCTTGTTGAGTTGTAGACTAGATTTTGACCATGTTTCTCTTTGTCTTCCACATAGGTGCTGTTCTTACTCTTACTGAGCCTTCCAAAAGCCCTGAGCAGCAGAGCTGAATTTGAGGTGCCAAACTCATCCTTGTGTTCTCTGATGTTCTACTTGATATGTCTTTTATGGAGTGCCATTCATGTAGTTGTGTGCACCTCCTCGGAAAGCTTATGCTATTTTTGTAGCATTCCCTGGATTCTGGCAGCTGGAATTATCGTGCTGATTTCGGGGCTTTTTTGCATCATAATTTCCCTTCTGGAAATGCGGGTTATAAATTCAAGACAATTGTTGAAGGTAAAAAAATAATAATACTGGAGTGTAATGTAAATTTCTTACCAGTTGCTCATTTGTTTTCCAGAGCGGATCTACACCCTATTCCTTTTTCCTTGTGCCATTTTGCTTTCTGTAGTCACAATATCTTTTTCATGTTCCCTTATGCCTTTATAAAAGAGAAAACACAGGCACTTTTCTCTAACAAGCTGGAGAAAGTTTGAACAGAGAAATAGGGCAAAGTCTAAGTCACTTTTTTTCTGCTTCCCTGGTTTTCAGTTTCAGATTTCAATATAAGTAGTTCTAATGCCTGTTGTTTACAGATCAAACAATATATACATAGGTCCAGATGAATGGTGGGATTCAAATTTTTTTACTACCGGTTCTGTGGGCATGGCTTGGTGGGTGTGGTGTGGCTTGGTGGGCGTGGCGTGGCTTGGTGGGCGTGGCAGGGGAAGGATACTCTAAAATCTCCATTCCCTCCCCACTCCAGGGGAAGGTTACTGCAAAATCCCCATTTTCTCCCAATTAGCTGGGACTCGGGAGGCATACAATAGATGGGGGCGGGGCCATTCAGAGGTGGTATTTACCGGTTCTCCGAACTACTCAACATTTCTGCTACCGGTTCTCTAGAACTGGTCAGAACCTGCTGAATATCACCTCTGGTCCAGATCAAATTGGTGCAGAATCATAAGGACTCTGGCTTCTCTCTAAATTGTGGGAAAAGTAACTCCTGGCAAAAGATAGCAATTAGAACATTAACATTGAGCCATACAATCTAATGTAGTTACCTTTTTCTTTAAAAAAATTTTTTTGTACATAATCCTTACGTTAGGTGACCTCATCAGTCAACCTGCAATTGTGGATAGTAGGCATTCTTTCTTGCTGGTGAAAGGTTATTTGCCATTTATACATTCAAAATAAAAACAACCAGGGCTTTCTCTATAATTATTTTATAAATCTGAGCTGAATTATACCTTGATTCCTCTATAATCTGTGACTCTTCACTTTTATTAATTAATGTATAATAGAATACCTGCGTATTATGCATAAAATATCAATCCCACTTACAGCCTCAATAATAGAACTGCTTTAGTAATCATACTCCTATTTTTGCTCAAGGAAAAATCTCCTCAGCCATCTTGCAGATTTGATTGGCAGGTTGCTACAAAAACAAGCAAAGCCAAGTGTGTTCAATTGATCACATTGATTTTGAATTGTTTGTGCTCTTCTTGATTTTCCTATCATGGCATACTATACACAACCTAGAATACTAGAACAGAACTACTGAAATCAATTGTGAATTAATTCCTCACTAAATTCAACTCTTATTTTAATGAGCTGCTTCATTTAATGGACTTGCTATTAATATGATTTGTGTGAATCTAATCCAAGTAATATTGCAAACATTATTGTGGAATTTACAACTTCTGTATCTCTCAGAATGGTTGGTCTCTTTAAAGAAGGTGGCAAAATAATCTTGAAGATACAGTTATTGTGTTGTTGGATAATTAAGATGTCAGTTGTTTGTGGGATGCGGTGGCTCAGTGGCTAAGATACTGAGCTTGTCGATCAGAAAGGTCAGCAGTTCAGCAGTTCGAATCCCTAGTGCTGCGTAATGGAGTGAGCTCCCATTACTCGTCCCAGCTACTGCCAACCTAGCATTTCGAAAGCACATAAAAATCCAAGTAGAAAAATAGGGACCACCTTTGGTGGGAAGATAACAGTGTTCTATGTGCCTTCGGAATTTAGTCATGCCGGTCACATGACCTGGAGACATCTTTGGACAACACTGGCTCTTTGGCTTTGAAACAGAGATGAGCACTGCCCCCTAGAATGGGGAACGACTATCACATATATGTGAGGGGAACCTTTACCTTTATCAAGTTGTTTCTGTGAAACCATAGGTTTCAGTAAGAATTCAAAGGTGAGTTAAGTTCTAAAATTACTCCCATTATTTGAGTAAGGCCTTAATCTTAAGCTCTAACGCAAAGGCTTGTTTTGAAAGCATGCTTGTATCCATTTTGTAACTCACTCATTCTTTTCCAGTATGGTCTGTATTCTTCCTTGATAATCTGCTGTGCTGCAGTGATTGTTGAGGCATAGTCACAGTTACAGTAAGAACATCGAAAGGACAATTTTGAATTGCACAAAACATTCATCCAGTCCAGCATATAGGAAAGGCTGTGTGTACAGGCAGTCCTTGACTTACAACAGTTGTTTAGTGATTGTTCAAAGCTACAACGTCAAGAAAGTGACTTTATGACCATTTTTCACACTGATGACCATTGCAGTACCCCATTGGTCATATGATCACAATTTGGATGCTTGGCAACTAGTTCATATTTATCACGGCTGCGGTGCCCCGGGGTCATGCAATCAGGTTTTGCAAGCTTCTGACAAGCAAAGTCAATGGAGAAGTCAGTTTCATTTAACAATCATATTCCTAAGTTAACTTCTGCAATGATTCACTTAACAACTGTGGCAAGAAAGCTTGTAAAATGGGGCAAAACTCACTTAACAAATGTTTCACTTAGCAACATAAATTTTGAGCTCAATTGTGGTCATCTGTCAAGGACTACCTGTATTGCCTTCTTTTCTTTCAGAGTCCTATAACGCCCAGTTCTAGATATATTCCCAATGTAGTGTATATATAGTATGTTGAAAGGATACTGTACAATGTATAGTATACATTGTAAATTCAGAGTGGCTATTTGGTGGTTCTTAGATCCTAAGTTGAATTTGTGCATTGACATATCCTGCTTATTTGCCTTTATAAATGTAACAATTTTTTGGACATGTCTGCTTGTGAATGAGGTTGCAGTCCGGCGGAAGTTAAAGATATTCTGAACTTAACTAATTTTGAATTTTGATTTGTTACAGCTAGGAAGGCTTGCTGCCTAAAGGGTCAGATGTGGTTAGTTTTAATGATTGAATTAGCCAAGCTTCAGGAAGATTAGTTTCAGGCTGCTGCTGGTGTGACTGCTGCACAGAACTTCAAGGGACATCTTTTAATCTTTGGTGGGGGGGGGGGAATCACTACATGGAAACTATTTCTTCCACTAATCCATGTTATCCAATTTTATAATGAAGCAAATAATAAGTTTTGAAATGGCATTTTTTCAGATTGTAGCTTAACTGGATGAAATGTAACTGTTCTAACAAGAAGTTTATGGCAAAGTGCCTTGAAGATAATTTCATATAAAAGCAGTATATTACAAAAACTGTAATAAGAGGAAAGGGGAAAAAGAAATATAAGATCTTAAATTTTGAGCCTGCTTTTCAGCAGTTTAGGTTTGGGTTTAGGTTTATTGGATTTATATGCCGCCCTTCTCCCAAGGACTCAGGGCGACATACAACATAAAAGAAAACACATATTACAAAAATTAAAAGGGACATGAAGTATCCCAAAAAACCCCAATTGATATTTACAATAAAAATTTAAAAATTAAATTAAAATTAACAACCAAATTAATCCTATATTTTATTCTATTCAGGCCAAGCCGGCTTGCTGGAAAAGCCAACTTTTTAGGCGCGTCGGAAGGACCAGAGGTCGGGGATTATGCGAAGCTCCAGGGGCAGCTTATTCCAGACGGAAGGCACTTCCACAGAGAAGGCTCTCCCCCTGGGGTTGCTAGCCGACACTGTCTGGCCGACAGCACCCCAAGGAAGCCAACTCTGGGATTGCACTGGACAGTGGGAGGCTACTGGTGGCAGTAGGTGGTCTTGCAGGTACCCTGGGCCTAAGCCATGGAGTGCTTTAAATGTCATAATTAATACCTTGAATCGCACCCGGAAGACAACCGGCAACCAGTGCAGGCTGCCTGAAAGGGGTGTAACATGGGAGCACCTAGGTACCCCCATGATAACCCGCGTGGCCGCATTCTGGACCAGTTGAAGCCTACGGGTGCTCTTCAAGGCAGCTCCATGTAGAGAGCGTTACAGTAGTCCAGGCGAGAAAGGACGAGGGCATGAGTGACTGTGCACAGAGCATCCTGATCCAGAAAGGGGTGTAACTGACGTATCAGGCAAACCTGGTAAAAGGCCCCCCTGGTCACGGCTGTCAGGTGTTCTTCTAAACTAAGCCGCGTATCCAGGAGGACTCCCAGATTGCCGGCCCTCTCTGAGGGGGCTAAAATTTCTCCCGCTATCATCAAAGATGGAACAAGATGCACAAATCGGGATGCACAAACCACAGCCACTCAGTCTTGGAGGGATTGAGCTTGAGCCTGTTCCTCCCCATCAAGATCTGCACAGGCTCCAGGCATCAGGGCATCACGTCGAGGGCATCATTTGGGTGGTTTGGGGTAGAGATGAAAAGTTGGGTATCATCAGCATATTGATGATACCATACCCCCAAACCACGGATGATCTCGCCCAGGTTTCATATATATGTTGAACAGGAGGGGTGAGAGAACTGACCTCTCTTATCTTATAGTTCTTATCTATGTGGGGAAAAGGCATGAAAACTAAGTAACTGTCATATAAATTAGACTTCAAATGAATGTGAAATTGAGCAAGCAACTTTTAAAAGTAGTTTTTATTCTAAAATGCATTTATGTATTAGTAACTAAATATATAACAATGTAGTTTTTTCCCCCTTTGAACTAGATGAGTGGTTCTTTTTGTTTTTAGCTCATGCAATTCTTTAACTTCTTTCTCTCTCTCTCATAACCCCCACCCCCACCCCCACATTGACCCTCACACCCACACACACCTATCGTCTGTCTGTCTGTTTACTTCAGGGAATAAGAAATGGAATAGGGAAATCCAACGGGATGAGACGAGATGGGACAGGACAAGACGGGATGGGATGGGACATGGTGGGACAGGATAGAATGGGATGGGATGAGATGAGATAGAATCACAGGGCTGGAAGGAACTTTGGAGGTCTGCTAACCCAAGACAGGAGTCCTTACACCATCTTTAACAAATGGATGTCCAATTTTTTCTTGAAAACCTCCAGTGATGGAGCACTCAAAATTCTAGAAGGCAATGTGTTTCATTGGTTAATTGCTCTCACTGTCAGGCAATTTCTCCTTAGTTCCAGGTAGGATGTCTCTTTAATGAGCTTCCACCCATTGCTTCTTGTTCTGCTGTCAGGTGCTTTAGAGTATGTCCCTAATCTCTGTGGCTTCCCTCTGATGTACCAAAAGACAACCATCATGTTACCCCTAATCCTTCTCTTCATTTGACTAAACATATTTAGTTCCCTTAACTGTTCATTGTATGATTCAGACCTCTTATCATCTTTCTTGCTCTTCTCTGCACTCATTCTAGAGTCTTTTTTTTTTTTTTTTTGCATTGTGGTAACTAGAATTGGATGACGTTTCCAACTGTTGCTTCACAAGTGCAATAGAGAGTAGTAGTATCACGTCGCATGATTTTGATGTTTTCCCTGTGTTGATGCAGCCTAGGATTGCACTGGCTTTTTGGCAGCTTCAGCACACTACTGCCCCATTTTCCCTGGCAGAGTGCTGCAGGAGACTGTCCAGGCTGAAAATATGTGCGGGGAGACGACAACCTGTGGGTCCCCCGCAACCCATTTTCGCTAGCAGAGGCACCACGGGGCGATCCTTTTCTATTTTCAGGCCAGCCCCATGGGCCAGATCTAATCACTCTGTGGGGCGGATCTGGCCTGTGGGCCTTTAGTTTCACACACTTGCTCCCAAGATAGAACATTGAAGTATCCCATTTAATGCTTTTCTTAATGTAGCTGTAGTTCCGTTGAGGGCTACTCACTGTTCAATTTGTTAGCATTTGGCACTATAGCAGTTAATCAATTGCCCCATATATAATCAAAACTTCAACTATTCCCCTTAGATCATTTGGACCATCTTTAGAAGTACCAATGAAGAAAAAAAAATGAGGTTTTAGCTATCACTTCCAGATCTTCTATAAAAAGGTTTGGGAAAAGCAAAAATTTTCCAAATGTGGGCACAAGTTGCTAATAAGATTTGAAGCATCAGAAAAGGATACATATATGATTTCTGCTTTGTTGATTCTAGGTAACAGCTTAAATAGTGTTTCTCTAATAGCATCCCTCAAATGTTGATTGACAAGCAATGAGTAAACAAACTTGCATTGATGTATATTAGAAATTCTGAACTGGTTTCTCCAGATAATTGTGGGTGTATATAACAATAGAATTGATAGGTTGGACCTAGCTACAGTTATACCGCAGTGAACATTGATATAAGACCATATCTACATGAAGGCATCCCAGGAGCATCTAAGCATCTTGTACCTATTTCTCAAGGTACACAAGCTATGCCATACATGTGATTCCATTCCAAATCTCAAGCACTAGAATCATCATGACTTGGAATATCAGGTTTCACGAATTCTCTACTGTGTTTCCCCAAAAATATGACAGGGTCTTATTTTCTTTTGACCCCCAAATAAGTGCTTGGCCTTATTTTCAGGGAGGTCTTATTATTTTTGAGTTGCAGGAGGCGGCGAGCATGGCCACCTCATGGCTGCTGCTGTGTTGCAATATTTTCAGGGAGGGCTTATTTTGGGGGGAGGGCTTATTTTAGTGCATGTGCTCAAAAGCCTAATTGAGCTTATTATCCGAGGAGGTCTTATTTTCAGGGAAACAGGTTATAGTATTGAGAATTTATTCAGCAAATGCTGCCAGCTGCACCACAGGCTTCCTAAGAATTGAAATCTATTGGCAATCTTAACAATACCATTGTACCCATCACAGATGTTATGGCACATTATACCCCCATCCTTCATAGACTTGGGCTTCAAGCCATCCAGATACCATCAGTGATCTCAGTGTAACAGGCCTCGCCACAGACTGCATGACTTTGTATTCATCCATAATTTAGTCACTGTTGGCAGTAACACACCTGCAAATCAGTGGCACTGCCATGGATACACAAGTAGTCCCATAGATATTCAAGTATCTTCACAAGTCACTTAAACATTTTCTCAACTCTTGAAAATCCTCTTTTATCTGGGATTCATTGATGGCACTTTTAGCATCTGGATCCAAGGAAATGAATCGCATGAGAGGATTTCCCTACTCAGCAGTTGCCAATAATGAGGTATTGCTTTTGCCTGTAGAGTCAGAATCTTGCCACTTGCTTCTGAGGTGCTTACTTTGCTGAAGTGTATGATTCTCAGTCCAGGGATGTTTTCCCTGCTTCTTGACATCAGTGTTGGCCTGAGTGGATATCGGTATTGGATTCAGCGGCTGTCGAATCATCAGACATGGTACCAGTAGGACATGATCCAGCATCTTGAAGGTTAGCTCTGAGGCTACAAGACCTCCAGATCACCATGCTTACCTACATGCTTCCAGCTTCGATCCAGGACATACCATCAAATCTGCCATATGTATAGATAGGCTCTATGCTACAAATGCATTTGTTCTATCTCACTTGACACAGATAATCAACTGATGGGATTAAACCAGGCATTCAGGAATCTAAATGGCAAATCCACGAGATCAATTAAAAATAAGCAGATCACTTTCCAGAGAAGGCCTATTAAAAGACAGAACAAAAGAATACCATTGATAGTCATAAAATACATTATGAAGAAGATACAGCCCATATTAGATAAAGACATTGTACTTTCTTAGGACTAGGTGGCAGCCCAATACTTCAACACAGACTACCGCTCAACTTGAAGCAGATTCTCACAACAGGCAATGATTGTAACATGAGAACCAAACCAAGATGTCCATGCTGCCCCCACATTTAAATCAATAGCATTATCACAGGCCTAACAACTTTATGCACAAAATTAGAGGCACCTTTACACATTCTTCCGCTAATGTGATATGTGTCACAATCTGCCAGAAGTGCTGTTGTGGATTCTGCGTAGGACAAACATTGTACAAAAGAATTAATGAGCTTGAGTTTGACATCAGAACTTAAGATGAGGATCAAAGCATTCCTGCATCTTAGATACTTCATTAGAGTTCTCAAAGAAGCCATTTTGGAAACAATGTTAAAGGCACAATTGAGTGTATGATTGCTGAACTCATCCAGAGGTTTCCAGCTATCTCAGAAAGTCTCAACAAACAACAAGGATCTTTTGACACCATACAATTGTTGTTTGATAACGAACTTATTTTATGTCTCATGTGTAACCTGTATAAAATAAACAAAATGTTAAAAGGTTATATTTACTTGTTACTTATCAAGCACATCTAAATTATATTAAAGTAACCAAAATATATTTACAATCCCCAAGACATGGTCACAACTTTTGAGCATTTCTAATATTTGGAAATTGAAAGTTGAAAAATTTGACATGCTTTAAAAGCGTCCTGCTTTCCCTTTATTTCACTCCTACCTCATCCTATGCCAATTTAGCCACTCCAGTTGTGATTGTAGCTTAATGCCTCTGGGTGAGTAGCACCTGATTGGTTTATCCTCCAAACGTTCTATTTTCAATATCTACATCAAGGTGCTTTGATATAATTAAATCTTTGTGAAATGAGCTGCTTGATTTTCTGTGGAATAATGCTGAAGTTTGAATTGACAAAATACTCTTTCTGGATCGTTACTGATTATCTTTACATTTTGAAACATATTATTTTACAGATGCCATTGCTTGTAACTTACTTGATTGCATTTTTCCTTTACTTGATTGCCTTTTACCTGAGTCGTCAAGTTTTTTGTGCAACAAAGTGTATTTCAATTTATTGAAGATGGTGCGCCAAGGATTTTTTTTGAAGGGGTTAGCTTTCTTTAAATCAGTGTGTTTGATGCTGTAGAGTGATTAGCATATAAAATGCCTCTATTTCTTGCAGCAACCTTGCACAACACTTTTGTTTGAAATAAAGCCACAGTTTCAGGAGGGAAAAGATAATAATCTGCACATCGCCATTCTTTTTATGATTGCTGTTAATCTACGTCAAGGTGATCAACTTCCTCTGAGGTGGAAGTTGCAGCTTATTGTCCTAGCTTTCCAGGGATGTGGTAATGGCATTGGGAGGGACTGAGAATTTTTATCCTACTGTTTGCTCATTTTGGGAACTTGAGGTTAAGTGTGGAAATGGAAATATTTTGCTTTTAGCCTTAAGATATCCCCAAACACCCAACCTCAAATCAGAAATGTGTCATAAAAAATGTCCACTTCTGTTTTCTATGGAGATTCTCAATCATCCAGGTCATTATAGTCCCAAAGGTGCTTTTCCAAAGGCAACTGGATTTTCTTGCCCTTTTCCTTGAAGATGTTTCGCTTCACATCCCAGAAGTTTCTTTAGTTCTTCACAGCTGAAGAAGCTTCTTGGATGAGAAGCGAAACATTTTCAAGGAAAAGAAAAAGCCAAGAAAGTCCAGTTGCCTTTTGGAAAAGCACCTTTGGAATGTCTACTTCGTTACTTCATTTCAGCAGCGTATCCCTCCCTCCATGGGAATAATGTAATTTCCCCCCGCAAACATTCAAACATGTTGGAAAGCGAACAGGTGAGAAGAGATCCTGACTTATCTATTTTAGAACGTCCTGATTGCTAAAAGTTTTCTCATTTTGGGGTAATTTTTTTTTATGATGTAAAACTAATTTACCTCACAAATGTTTCATCAGTCATTTCAAGAAGCTGCATCACAGCCCTTGAAAGAGAATGTGCTGTGGTTTCAGTGGCACAATTAACAGTGTTGACAGCAGGGCTGAATTAACCTTACTTTAAATCAGGATGGAAGAAGAGTTATATAAAATGCAACGAAAGTACAGTTGTCACTGAAGAAGCAACTATACGCGGCCGATTCTAATGATGTGTTGGATTCTTCCAAACTATATCCTCAAGATATATATTTTCCTCCTCTCTTTGCAGAATCCAGCTGCTGCTCCTTCCAGCTGGTCTGAATTAGATGTGTTGATCCTGGCAGGCACCATTGGCCATATTTCAAGTCTGGGTGCCAGCAGCTTTGTTGAAGAAGAACACCAAACCTGGTACTTCCTGATCAATACCCTTTGCCTTGCCCTCTGCCAAGAAATCTGCAGGCACTATTTCTTGACTAAGGAGGGTGATCTGCAGATCCCCACCACAGGCAAGGCAAAAGCAGAAGAAATGAAAGAAACTCCTTCCCACTACAGAAGTGATATTGAAATAACAGAGGATGAGCTGAAGATGGGTAGAGGGGACAACCCCGTAAGTGTGAATACCTTTGAGAAGTGGATGGCCTTAGCGACTCCATGGCTCATCCTTATCATCTGTAGAGTGCTTCGTTCGTTGAATCAAACTGGAGTCCAGTGGGCCCATAGGCCAGATTTTGGACATTGGCTGACAAGGTACCTACTTGATCTTTTGTTATTTAGATTGCTTAACGTCTATCACATAAGAACACAGTCCCTCAAAAAATGATGGTCCCATCAAACCTGGGGACTCCAGAGGACTGGTGAAATGCTGAAGAGGCTCCTTTGCTATTGACATCTGCTTCTTGTGTAATATTTGATCTCTTTCACCCTTGCATTTTTAAATATTTTAAAATGCTTTTAATAATAATTGTGTTTTATATATAGTATATATGAATTGAGTTTTAGCCTTCTTGTATATGGCCCAGAGTTACTTTTGTTGTGAGGTGGGTGGCCATATATGTTCAATAAATAACTGAGATATACTGAGGGGCTTTTTTGTGAATTCCTTCCAGTGGAGTAATGTAGGAAGGGGCTTTCTTAGTTGTGCTGATTTGGTTATGGAATCTCATTTCACCAGCGGTTAGGCAGGCTTCTTTTCAACATCAGAATTCACCCATGCCTTTAGGTTTCAACAGCAAAGTGTCTGTCTGTTTGTCCGTCCATCCATCCATCCATCCATCCATCCATCCATCCATCCATCCATCCATCTATCTATCTATCTATCTATCTATCATACATTATAATGATTTAACAAAAAAAATCAGTAGTTCCTATAGCTACCAATTATTATGAATATCAATATCTATAATATCTATATCTATAATATCTATCTAGCTATCTAGCTATAATCTAGCTATCATATATCTATGAATCTGTCTATCAATGATACATTATAATGATTTAAGAAAAAAAATCAGTTCCTATAGCAAACTGTAGAAATCTTTCATAAGTGGGAAGAGAAAGCAAGAGTTTAGTTTTACTAATTTTAACTACAAGATCTGGATAGCAGAGTTCTTAATTCTCTGGTTAAAAGGTGTATTTTAAAAAAGTATTTGCAACGTGTATTAATTATACTGTTCTTTGGTATATTTCTTCCCTTGTTTCTTAAATAAAAAATAGGATTTATTTATTTATTTGGCATATTCTGCTTTAGCCCAAAAATCTTGAACAAGATTTGCACATATGGATATTGCATCTGGTTTTTTTCTCCTTCCTTCTGCTCTCCTGCACTGTATTTTGGGTTAGTCAGCATCTGAAGAGAAGAGAGTAAAAAAAACAACACCAGTGGAGGATGATAACCATCCAGCTGAGCAATGACTTAAATTGAATTCAGCTTTCCCCAACTGAATGCCTTCTAGATATGGGTCAGACTAAAATACCCATCACCCAAACCCATCACCCCAGCACCAAAGGGATTGGCTAGTATACTGTTTCACTTGTTTTAAGGCTGAACTGCAAGCATTTTTTTCTTTTGCAAGAGGAACGGAAGCTTAACCCAGGAAGTAGTTGCTTTCTTACTCAATGTATGAGGTTATTCTGATCTCTCCCTCTTTTTTTCCTACTATTTCTATCTTTACCAGCAGGTGCTAAAATAATCTCTGTGGAGGAGAACTAGTTGAATTGGTGTTTGGTCAGGATCAGTTAAAACATTTTCATTTCTTCATCCGATAACATGAACTAATTAATCTTTGCATCTCTTGCTAAAGCTTCTTTTTCTACTTGATTATGTGTCTTTTCACCACAGAGGGAAGCTCCAGGGATATTGGAGTGTGACATAACATTCCATCTCCTTAACCAGAATGTTTCAGCTGCATGTTGTTCTGGTGGCACAGTGTGCTTTTTAGAGCAAATGTGATTTACTAACTTGAGTATGCTGCTAGCCATATGTGGAAACCCACCAATGGGTTAGATAAGTCTATGTTTCCTGCGGCTCTTGTAGTGTGTGTGTGTGTGTGTGTGTGTGTGTGTGTGTTTGTATGTTTAGGGAGAGAGAGAGCGAGGGAGAGGTATTGCTAGAACCCCCATGACTCAAAGCTATGTGTGCTCTGTGCTAAAAATAAAATGAGAACCAAGCACCAAGGCAACCCAACTGCTATGACGCAAAAAGCAAAATTATGTTGCTTTTTATAAACTGCCTTTTAAATAATCCTTTTGCATTGTTTTGCTTTGTTTGCATTGCTGATGCTTATTGAAAGGAGCCGGGAGCTGAAACTGTCTTCCCAGATTTTGTCAGATATTGATCACACATTTTGGCAATTATAATGCCTTGAAAGGCATTTTTTTAAAAAACAGACAACCTCCTCCCCCCCCCTCCCAAAAAAAAGTTAAATGTGAGATTTTTCTGAAAGCGGAGAGCAGTGTTAAGCTTAAGCCCAGTTGTGTTAGATATGGAATCTTGAAAAATACAGGATTGTGTTAACGTATCAGTTTTAGGCTTGTTAAGAAAATGTTTTTCTGAGAGGCAGGAAGTTGCATGAGCTGATTGCCACGTAGAAGAGAAGTTGAAATTGCAGCCACACTTTTAGGTATTTTACTAAACCACAGTGGTATAGTGTCATAAGTCTGGACATTGTGCATCCTACAATATACCCCATAATCCTTTACACAATGCAATTGATTCCCTATTACTGATTTACTTAGGCTAAAAGATTTTTGTGCCAATTCTCTTTAATATTTTTTCCAAAATGGGAAAGTGTGTGTATTTTTCCCTCCAGAATTATAAAAGTGATTATTATAACAAGTGTAACTAATAGAGGCAATCAGATTTTCTTGCAGAAATAGCAGTAGCACTTAGACTTATACACCGCTTCACAGTGCTTTACTGCTCTAAGCAGTTTACAGAGTCAGTCTATGGCCCCCAACAATCTGGGTCCTCATTTTACCCACCTCGGAAGGATAGAAGGCCGAGTCAGCCTTGAGCTGCTCAGAATCAAACTCTTGGAGTGAGCAGTACTGCATTCTAACCACTGTTCCACCACGGAGTGATATATAAAGTTACATAAAGTGCCTTCACATTTATTTAAACTCTGCCTAGCACTTAAAACAGCATTGCATATACCTGGGAGAAGGCTTCCTGTACTTATCATCTGATTAACATTAATGAAGGTGGCACCTCAAGCCAATCTTATTATATGAGCAAATGGATGGATCTCAATTCTTTTGAAAGGAAATATTCTAATTATAGACTCTTATAAGCTCCTGACAGTCAAAAGCAATATGGAAAATGCTCACTGAAAATGAAAAGCTTGAAAGTTCTCCTTCTGTAAAAAGTAAAGGAAATGAAACCATTGCACCATTCAGTCAAAGGTCTCTATGAAGGATAGGAAGGCTCTAAAGTGATAACATAGAAAATTATTTTATGCTTTGTATAAGATTGTAAAATGTCTGATATTTTGGAGTAGAATAAATGCTACATAAAGAGTTTGCAAAAACTGATGTGGGAAAAGGTTATTGGTTTTCTGATGAAGTGAAGCTTGTTAAGAAAGAGAGAGAGAAAAGAACTTGTAAGTGAATCTTATTTTTTTTAAAAATCTAATTGAATTTGTTGTTGGTTTTACAGCTCGGAACATAAAACTGAACTTTCTCTTCTGGCATCGGTGTCTCTAGTTATGATCTTAATACTTGTTCATCGAAGATGCTCTTTGGTTTCGAAAATAGCAATGGCACTTGGACTCTTGGGAGTGTACAGTTACCAGGCAGCGATAGGAAATGTGGAATTTCCATGGCAACAAGACAGAAAAGATATTTCAAAGTAAGTTCATTAGCAGCTATGTAAATGTACTTAACACCTTGAGGTCTAAAAAAATATCACAAATAAGTACTATGTGGGTTTGTGCACGTGTTTTCTAAGAGTTATGGGCAAATTTTAGATTTGAGGGGTTTACCCTGTTTTGACAAGAACCCTGGAATTGGCCGGTGAGGTGTTGATACAAAAGACACATGCTTAAAATTAAAGAGTTTTGGTCTTAGGAATTTGTTTTGCGTATTACAATAGAAGAGTCCTTCTGTTCCTGGGTAACTCAGGTTTCCCCCCCTCATTTTAGCAGTTTGTTTTAGGCAAGCCAGAGAGATTTCTTATGCTGCTGCAATTATTTATCCCTTTAATGGATTTAGGCACTGCCTCTGGGTGGCTCACAAAACCAAATATGAAGCCTTTTCTTCCTTGGCCATCAATACATTTTTTGTTGCGTCATTCCTGTGGGCTGCAGAGAATCTGGATAGAGATCAAACATCCCCAGAGTGGTCATGGCAGAATTTTTGAAGATTCTATTCCCAAGGAAAATGTGTGTGTGTGTGGGACATTGTAAGGGATAGGTTTTATACTGTAAGTGCGGCATCTTAAATTCCCCTGAGGAGAAAAAAACCTATTCACCTCTGGGTCTGGTTGTTTGTGCCTGATATGACAAGAACATAATTTACCTTAGCGAGATCATTCCAGTTCAGCTGTAAGACACAAACTCTCCACTTCTACTTTAATACTCTCTTCACTTCATTTTTCTATTATAATCCCTCCAATCCAAACAACACTACAGAATTGCAAGTATTATAACAAATAAATAAATTAACAATACAAAATAATCTGTTATCATTCTTCCCTCATTCAATCATAGATCAAAACCAACTGGGAATGCTGCATATAAGCAGCTAAAATTGTGATAGACCTTATGGATTAAGTCAAGCATGCTGTTCCCACCAGTGGCCAAATATTTTTGAGAACTTATCAAGTCAGCAACATTCCTCTATCATTTGCCCTTAGGTTCTACAGCACCAGTTCTATTATATTGCAAATATTGTCCCGTGGATGCCCAAAAACACAATTGCTATCCCATGTTCATATCCAGTAATGGGACCTGGACAGAGGTCCCACAGGAGAAAAACAAGGTCAGAAAGGGACCCAGGTGAAAAAAGGTTGAGAAACAGTATTTTGCCTTTAAACATGCGTAAATACCCACAGATTATTTGTTGTTTGTTACAGGCAACTAAGTAAATGTTAAAGGGCAATGGTAATTATACCTGGGAAAAAAGTTTGGGAAAACATTTTCCTAAAGTTTTCATGAGTTTACAACTAACAGTTCTGTGAGAAATTTTTTTTGGCAGGAGTTAAATATCTGTTGATATTTATAAAAGCATCTCTTAATGTGACTCTTTTGTCCTTATAACTGCTAGCCTAATATTTCCATTGCCTGATTAGTAGTTCATAGATGCACGTAGTTTAACGTTTCTGGCTGACACAATAATATGCCTTCTTAAAGTTCATCAAAGCGGTTGCTTTGATCAGTAAACTATGCAACTATTTGTGATTTCAGGCTGGAAGTGTTCTTGAGCAAAGCACTGGGTTAGATTCCTAGCACCTTTTTAGAATGGAAATAGAGTAGATATTTATCCTGAAATTGTAATTTATGGTTGCTTGATTTATGACGGCAGCTGAATAATACTTTTCTCAGCCTGTGCTTTGTAAAGCACTGTAATGAAATTCAAATAGCAAATCTTTTTTCTTTCTAATCCTTGCTTGATATGCAAAGCTGGCATAGTTTTGCTCCAGTGCCTGTGGCCCAAATGGGAGGTTGTACAGAAAGAATGTGAGATGTGCACTGGCTTTCTGACTTGTTCATAATTTTTAATGATGCCTGTTCATCAGTGGACCTGCTGCATTGTAAGTGGATAAAGCAACACTTACCAAGATAGGGTGGAAAATTACTGTCACTGTTGAGGGCCTCCTGGTGTTTATCCATTCTGACAGTTGTATATTATATATCTTATTTTTCGGACTATAAGACGCACCGGAGTATAAGATGCACCAAGTCTTTGAAGAGGTAAATTTAAAAAAAAGTCTGCACTCTGCAGGCCTCCCAAACCCTCTGCATGCCTCGTTTTTTGTGAAAACCAGGGCATACAGAGAGTTTGAGAGGCCTGCAAAGGAGCTGGGGTGGGGGGCAAAAACAGGCCGTTTTTTGTAAAAACAGCCTCTTTTTTTGCAAAAAAACCAGGGCATGCATATGCTTTGGGAGGCTTGTAGAGTGCTCCTGGGGGCTGGGGGGGGGGAACGAGCAAAAAATAGCTTATTTTTTGCTCGTTTTTGCCATCTCCAACCCCCAAGAGCACTTTGCAGGCCTCCCAAACTCTCTGCATGTCCATTTTTGCGAAGGAGGCAGGATTTCGGGAGCCCAAAAAATGCTGGATTCAGTGTATAAGACACATCCAGATTTTCACCCTCTGTTTTGTGGGGAAAAGGTGTGACTTATACTCTGAAAAATAAGGTGCATAGATTTCTATAGTACAGTTCAAGTAGGATCAGAACTCTTGTTCCATATATTGCCATGCAACATATAAAATCTCAAAAAAAATAAATACCACTTCTAGTTTTTGAATGTTGTGTGTCATTTAAATTGGTGTTCTTCGATTAAGGGGTAGTTTTAAAGTTTTCTTTTTAAAAATACATATACATACATTTCAAACTGTTGAGATATTTAAGACATTTCCTGATGATCTTAGAAAATCATCACCAGTCAGGATATTAAAAAAAACCATATTGTTGGGTCACTGTGTTCCTTTCAGAGGATTATTAATTATCTTTGGCAACAAGGTTGGTGTTTGAAGAGAAGCCAAGATTAGAAAACTCATGGTGTCAACTCTTGTATAGGCCACTATTGGCCTGTAACAAATCTGTTTAACTTTCAGGTTATAACATTTTCTTGTAACATATGGCTTCACTGCAAGATTCTATAGCAATGTACTTAATGAGTAAATTTATACTTGGGACACATATGGACATAGACTCCAACTGTCAATAAATATCCCCATTCCCCTTGTGTAACAATCATATAATGTGGGCTGCAGCTGTAGTTGCATAGAGCTTTCTTTTCCATCCTCCCCCAGCTCAGAATTCTGAAATGAAATTCCAATCGTGCTGTTTTAAATGAGCTGGATTAAGGTAAAGATGTAGATAAGGAAAGGAAATTGATGATGATATGATGAAGATGATAGTATAGTATAGTATAATCTTTATTGTCATTGTACTTAAATACAACTGAATTGGTTTTAACCTCACTGGTGCAAAATTATAACAGAAATGAAAAAAGAAAGAAAAAGAAAAAGAAAAA